GTCATGTGACAAGAACCAACCAATCAGCTTCATCCTTTCCGTAAGAACATTGAAAGCTCAGCCAAGATGAAGGAACAGCTGATCATAGCTGTACAGGGATAGCCATTTTTAAATAAATTTAGTAGCAGAGCTACTGCAAGCGATTTTAAGTGTTGCAAATCCATTTATCCTTTGCTGAAACTTCCGCGTCTTCATGGAGAGCGCAGGTCATGGTTGCTTAGCAACGGCAGACGCCTCCGGAGCGCCCGAACGCTTTGGGAAAAAAGCAGAAAGCGGCGCGCCTAGCGTTTTCCACGTGTTTTTAGGCGCGACATGTGAACGGCCCCTAAAAGCACTTTGGAATTATTGGAATTACTATTTAAAAAAATTCACTGTCATAATATTTTTCATTTGTTTTTACCAGCTTTAATAACGTACACAGAGAGAGTGCACAACTCTTTGATATTAATTTATATAATAAATAGCATATAATAATAAATCAGTACGCTAGATGAGGTTATATATAAAAATAAAAAAAAACACGAGTCCACATTCTACTGATTTGTTCTTATTGGTGAAAGTGAATTACCTGAAATGCAAAAGTAAATTTCTCAAATGACAACAATCATTACGATTATAATTTTGAGCAAAAATCATTTTTGATCAGTTTCAACCATTATACAGAATGACAAAAATGTGATTGATTTCATTGATTAAAACTAGACTAAACTGCTCAGACATTTCGTCGACTAAAACTTGACTAAACAGAAAAACAGGACAAGGTTGACTAAATAAGACAAATAAAACATATATTTGAGACAGGACTAAGACTAAATTAAAAATGGGTGCCAAAATTAACACTAGAAGACAGTCAGTTCCCCTCAGAGATACATTCATATAAACTCCCACCCCCAACTGTATCGCAATTCGTTTTACATCTCAACCGATTTGAATTGTCACATTTGTATCGACTTTCAACCGGCTCAGGGTGCATCCTTACATCCCTAGATTTGAACCTACAAACTTTTGTTGAACCACTTTACTACACCACACAAAAAAATAAGTTCTTGTTAAAAATTAACCAAAATTTAAAATATTTTGCTTACAATTTCTGCACAGGAGAGACTTGGTGTTGTTTCCAAACAAAATTAAATATATCGGTATCGGCCAAAATGAGTGAAAAAATATCGGCATATCGGCAAAAATCCAATATCGTGCATCCCTATTTACCAAAATCTCGTTTTATTTTCGTCAAAAAAAAAAAAGAAAACAAAATATTATTGCGGACTGCTGTGCACGCCTCTACTATGCAAGCTTTCATGTGTACGGTTGCCAGATATCAAGAGTTAAAATCCTCGAATCAGAGCTTCTCTGTTACATTGATACATTTTCTGCCCGGTGTTTTGCTTATGCAATCTGGCAACCATGTGCACACACTCGCTCCTTATTGCGGAAGCGCCGCTGACGATGATCTGAAAACTAGAGTTTAGCTATTTCCATGCGAGATGTTCATCTTAAATGAAATCATCATTCAGCCAGTTTGTGTTCTGTCATGAGATCTTGAATATTTTGTTTGCGATTGTTGATGCTGAATAAGGGGCCGTTCACATATAGCGTCTTTTGCGCGCTCAAGTTCGTTATTTCAAATGTAGACGCGCGGCAGGCGCACTCATAATGGAAGCGACGTGGTCACGACGGGTCATGTGACAAGAACCAACCAATCAGCTTCATCCTTTCCGTAAGAACATTGAAAGCTCAGCCAAGATGAAGGAACAGCTGATCATAGCTGTACAGGGATAGCCATTTTTAAATAAATTTAGTAGCAGAGCTACTGCAAGCGATTTTAAGTGTTGCAAATCCATTTATCCTTTGCTGAAACTTCCGCGTCTTCATGGAGAGCGCAGGTCATGGTTGCTTAGCAACGGCAGACGCCTCCGGAGCGCCCGAACGCTTTGGGAAAAAAGCAGAAAGCGGCGCGCCTAGCGTTTTCCACGTGTTTTTAGGCGCGACATGTGAACGGCCCCTAAAAGCACTTTGGAATTATTGGAATTACTATTTAAAAAAATTCACTGTCATAATATTTTTCATTTGTTTTTACCAGCTTTAATAACGTACACAGAGAGAGTGCACAACTCTTTGATATTAATTTATATAATAAATAGCATATAATAATAAATCAGTACGCTAGATGAGGTTATATATAAAAATAAAAAAAAACACGAGTCCACATTCTACTGATTTGTTCTTATTGGTGAAAGTGAATTACCTGAAATGCAAAAGTAAATTTCTCAAATGACAACAATCATTACGATTATAATTTTGAGCAAAAATCATTTTTGATCAGTTTCAACCATTATACAGAATGACAAAAATGTGATTGATTTCATTGATTAAAACTAGACTAAACTGCTCAGACATTTCGTCGACTAAAACTTGACTAAACAGAAAAACAGGACAAGGTTGACTAAATAAGACAAATAAAACATATATTTGAGACAGGACTAAGACTAAATTAAAAATGGGTGCCAAAATTAACACTAGAAGACAGTCAGTTCCCCTCAGAGATACATTCATATAAACTCCCACCCCCAACTGTATCGCAATTCGTTTTACATCTCAACCGATTTGAATTGTCACATTTGTATCGACTTTCAACCGGCTCAGGGTGCATCCTTACATCCCTAGATTTGAACCTACAAACTTTTGTTGAACCACTTTACTACACCACACAAAAAAAACAACTTAATCTGGAGCTGAACCATCTACTGGATGGACAATACTGCACTCAGCCATCTATATGACTAATGAAAAGTTAACATTTCTTCGCTTAAGTGCCAGTTAAAATAGTTTTGAAGTTGTATCATTATTCAGTCTGATTTCACTGGATTTGCAGAGTCAAAGAGAGCAAAAATAAATTTGTTTACCTTTTGTCACGCTGATGAATGACAGCGACAGCTTTTCAATTTCACGCTCTGAAACGGAACTGTTGAGTTGAACACCTTAAATTTCAGGTTTCACAGAGCTTGTGTTGTGGAGGTGGGAGGAAATCCTGCTAATAGATCAAGGCCCTCTGAGTTTTAACTACTCTCAAATTCGCCTGCAGCGGTGGAGGAGAAACTAACCTTCGCCATTACTCTCGTACCGTGAGCTGCTGCTCACCGACCACACATCACAGTCCCAGCTGGATAAAAACTGAATAGATGTGCTGCTGACGCTAATGCTCTTCCAAAGAGTAGCTAGCAGGATTACATCTCCTATGAGAGATACGATTATAAGGCAGCATGTGTCCTTCACTGAATTAAAGATAAACTTTATACACAATATTTGTACAGAGTACTGTGTTTTCAGCTTATTGCAATATTGTTAGCTTAGCTTATTAGCCACAAGCTAATATCAAACCCTATACCTGAAATCAACCATGAGTCCAATCCTCAGTGTTTCGCATGAGAAGTTGCCACCTACCCAGCTAACAAATGTTTGATAGGGTTCCCATTAAGTTATGAAAACGTTATTTCTGAATTTGAGTCTTGTTTTATGCAAATGTTAGCAAAAACATTAAGGGAACGCTCTGTTGAAAACATTATGGGTATGTTACTTCTGAATGTTTGCTTTGAACTTTCTGAAGTAGTAATAGGGCCCTATGATTTCCACAATGCGGAAAACACAGACGGAATCGCGGAATCCAGTTAAAAAAAACGGAATTTACTGTATAACACGGAATGTCACGGAATTTGTCAAATTTTGAATGGACATATCAAAAGTAGGTCAGTAAACTTAAATCAAAATGCAATATGGACTAGTGTCTGTGAATATTAAGCCACAAAAATACTATTTAAATATGAATTCTGCATGTTCTGCATGTCTCTGTGTGAATGAATGGCACAGATGCACAGTTTTGTTTACTATACACAGTGTTTTCAGCACTAAATGAGGACATAAATACATGAACATAATAACCTTTAGAACTGCTCTGAGAGTCACTTTGTGAGCATTTTGCCATTTCTTTTGAAAACAAAAAAACAAAAAACAAAACTATCATCATATCATATACAAACAGAAACTTAAAGGTCTTCACAGCAACCCGTCAAAATAAAGGTTCGGTTTAACTTGAAGAAACTGTGACAGAAATACATTGCTTAAAGTCCACATGAAATCAAAATTGACTTTATTTACTTTACTAGCGCACATTGCTAGTCTTGATGTAAACAATTAATCCGTGCAAGTTAATCCGCTGAAAAAAATGGTTTGTCTTCGTAATCTTTAATCAAAATCTGAACATTTACTTCCGCTCTGGAATGGCATTCCTTCTCTGATGACGTCAGTTTGACGGCTTGGGCAGAATATCCTTCTAAACACACCCTTCTAACCGTTAGATTGCTATGAGTGAGAGACAGAGAGGAGGAGCGCAAACACAAAACCATGCCCTCTATTCAATATTCCGTTTCAAATGGAAATACGTCACTACACTGAAATAAAGTCGGCAGCAACTTCCGGTTCACGTGGACTTTAACACAATAATAGTACTACTACTAATAATAAAATTACTATTAAAACATTATTTTAAGGAATATTCACCAATTTTTTTTTACCAAAAAATATTTACAAGATTTATTTAGCATAAAAATGTAAATGCACAACACAATATTTCTGAAAAAAAATTAAATAAATCAATACAAAATAAAACATTTCATAGGGCCTTAAGAATTAAATTTTTGTTAAACTTTTTAATAAATTGCTGTTAATGTGTGTAAATTTCATGATTTCACTTAATTAGACATGCTTTTTGATTAATAACATTTAATTTAACCATTAAAACAGAGTCTAGAAAAATGTAAGTAGTAGACATGAAAACATCTCAGGTTTTGGAACAGAGCCACAGCTCTACCACCACTGTAATGCCCATTCATGCAAAATGTCTCTTTTATGAGCTCCGATTTGCGAGCTTCATCACACATGCCTTGATTTGATGGGTAGAGAGAGATTGTATGAGAGGGGCAGACATTCAAGCGCTGCTAACTCACCGGTGTGCAGTACTCCACCATGGGGTAGTTCAGTTTATGACCCTTCGCTGTGCGACCAGAGAAGAAACAACTCTGGCAAACATCATAGTTGAAGTGCTTCAAACTGCGGTATCTGCAAAGAGAGAAAGAAAACTGACAATTAGTATGATAGGCCTTCACTGTATTAACTTTTTTTCGCAACATATCCTTTTCGGTTTTACACTGGAAAACATTGATTCATTACACCCATAACTCCAAAGCAGCCATTCTGTAGTTTTGTCAAACTATTATCCACTTGTTCCTGAATTTGTCTGAAACTGACAGTCCTCTTGAGAATACTCGTTCACTCCAGTCACGTAGCGCTTGATTCAATAACATCATTACCACACAGTTTAGAAGTGTTTTTATTTCACAGATTTCTTCATATAAATGTAAATCGAGTGTGGAGGAACACTGTGTGTTGTTTGTTTTCGGTTTCTTCTGGTCTCTCCAGGAAATGCAAATTCAATAGAATATAATTCCTCCAGTGTTCAATATTTCCACTGCACTGCTGCATAAATGATATGACAGTAAAAAGCTGCTGCATTTTCCGAAACAGCTCCCTTTCTCTCTGGGGCGGCCCATTTGAAAGCACAATATAACACTGAGGCCTCTGCTGAGAATGACTTAAAATCACGCCATCAGGACTTCGGTCAAGAGCTTTTAAAATAGTTTCTGAGAGTTGTGGATAAAACGAATATCTGATCTAAAATCCAATTTGATGAAGTTAGAAGATATTGAAAAATAAAACAATAAGCTTTGAGACTTTGCATGTTACAGTGATTTTATTGCCAGTAATGGGTGTCCTAAGGCATATTAAAACAATAATAATCAAATCATTTTAAAATAACACTGTGAAACCAATTTTTATTTTAAGTTTTGTTCCGCTTTTATTTTTAATATTTCTTTATGAAGTTTGACATGAATATGAAAACCACATAACTTTTTTGGGTATCCTTAACAGTGCTCATGAAAATTAAAAACAAAAAATAAATACATTTATGTGTAATGCGTGACAGTATGACATTACAATTCTTTTTAGAAATAAACGGTGCATAAATAGGTTTAAAAAATACTTTTACTGAAGTAGAGGGCTTCAGGTTAGTAGCAAAAAGGTCTTTACCTTGTAACATTAAGGGGCCGTTCACACAGAATGCGTTTTTTCATTCCAATGTGCTACTTTTCCATTGTTTTTCTAAGTAGACGATAAAACGATTATCTGATCTAAAATCCAATTTGATGAAGTTAGAAGATATTGAAAAACAAAACAATAAGCCTTCAGACTTTGCATGTTACAGTGATTGTATTGCCAGTAATGGGTGTCCTAAGGCATATTAAAACAATAATAATCAAATCATTTTAAAATAACACTGTGAAACCAATTTTTATTTTAAGTTTTGTTCCGCTTTTATTTTTAATATTTCTTTATGAAGTTTGACATGAATATGAAAACCACATAACTTTTTTGGGTATCCTTAACAGTGCTCATGAAAATTAAAAACAAAAAATAAATACATTTATGTGTAATGCGTGACAGTATGACATTACAATTCTTTTTAGAAATAAACGGTGCATAAATAGGTTTAAAAAATACTTTTACTGAAGTAGAGGGCTTCAGGTTAGTAGCAAAAAGGTCTTTACCTTGTAACATTAAGGGGCCGTTCACACAGAATGCGTTTTTTCATTCCAATGTGCTACTTTTCCATTGTTTTTCTAAGTAGACATGTTCTAGATGGATGCATATGACCATTGTTCTTGCGTTTTTGCAGCATCTCATACATGAGCACTGCATTTTTTTATATGCCATGTCAAGTTAAAAGAATTTCAACTTTTACATGTAGCTCCGCTCATCAATGTCAGTTCCAAAACAGTGGACCAATCAGAAGAGCCTGGAGGCGGGGCTAGCATTGCTAGCTTTGTTTACAGTAGCGAGTAGGCATGGCAACATGGCGGAGGAGACACTCTGCACTGTGCTTTTTATAAAACCATTCCTGAGCACTGCGTCTCATCTTTTTAGACACAAAGATGCGTTCTGTGTGAAGGGCTCCTAAGTCCATAAAGTGTAGACCAAGTTGTTTAGTCATTTAACGTTCAAGTAACAGTCCACTTTGAATGATCTAATTAAACTTTTAATAGACACAACACATTCATTGATAGGACAGTCAAGAGAGGGGAGAAAGGTAAGAGTGAGGGGTGATATCGCTTAAGCCAAATTTAATTTGGTCACACACACACGCTATATTCCTGCTAGACCACAGCACCAATTTACAAAAGCACTTGTAAAAAGTCATTTGTTGGCGCAGAGGGAATACCGCTTAACCGTAGCAAAATCACAGTAATGCAGTCTTTTGTGGATTAATGCTTTAACAATTAACAACTGTTAATCTGCCAAACAACTAATTACATTTGCATGGCTTTGTTTAACGGAATTACGCTCCAGGATTTCTATTTTTTTTCACAGGTCTCAATAAATCCAGCTTGACTGACTCGGACTTTATTTTTCTCCGTTTCTCTCTCTCTCGTTCCATTCAGTCTTCTCTAGCATCCATCACTGACAAAACTCTTTCCGTATCTCCTCCGTCAAACGTCCGACTGAATCTCTGCCTCAGAGAGAAACACCTCAGACAACGAGATGGTGTGGTCTGATGCGCTCAGTCCTCCAGAGACGGAGGAGGCTGTCAGTGTGGCTTAGCCAAAGACGGTGGATGGTTTTCAAGCGAAAGTCAAGTAAAAGATGCTGCTTAAACCAGAGAAGGTGAACATGCTGGTATTCTTGTGGGGAAAAACATGCAAGCACTGTCACCATTAGTTTTACTTTTCTTTTCATTGTTGAAAAACTTGTTATCTTTGCTGTTTACCTCACATTACGCTATGGAGGCTCTCTGTGCCATGCCTCATCTTATTCGTTCTTACTGATTTATTATTGTTGTTCTTTTTAATTAAGAATAACAATGAATCCATCTTTTGTTTTAGTCTTAAAAAAATGAAAGATGTGTAGATGTATGTAAGCAAAAAAGTGACAACAAGATTGCAAATTCGAAAGTGAAATCATCCGAAGCCCGCGGCTTAACACAGCAAAAGAGAAAGAAACTCCCATTCACAAAATTCAAATCACAAATAATACTACTGACGATAAAGAACGGGTTGAATGGTAACCACTTTCATTTCCAAATAACTATAAACTATGATAAAAGTTCATCAGCATGCATTGAATAATCCCAAGTTGTAGCGCAGAAAAAAAAAAAATAAAATAAATATTGCGACCAAATCATGTGCTCATGCGACCAGCTGAGAAAGTTAGTTGCAAAAGAGCGACCAGTGGGAAGAATGAGTCTGGAGCCCTGTATAGGCTATACAGTGCATGAAAAGCAAACTGGTGCTCTTCTGTTTCTTTTGGTGCCTTGTCTCGTATAAAAAGCACAATAATCGCGGTTGTCTGAAACAACTGCGGTTAGATCAAATAATCGCGAATTAATCATTTAATTATCGCGACAGGCCTAGCTGTGATGACCAACTAAAACACGAGACATCACTCTAACACACACTTTTATTATGCTTCATCTGCAGTTATGGTGCTGTATATCTGCACGCGGCTGATATTAATGCTGACAATAAATTCTGGCTCGCCTTTAAAGCAAAGAAACTAAATATTATATTAATATATAATAATGCAATAAAGATGTTTTACTGCTATAATTATTGATTTTACTGCAGTCTTCTGGTGATTTTTATCATTATTACAATTAATAGAGTGTTTCACATATAGCTGATATTTCAAGTTGAGCTTTGACAATTGCTAAATTCTACAATACAAAGACTGCAAATGAAAAGTTTCTGTCAAATGTTTATACTATTTATAATGCACTAATTAATAAAAACATTTAATGGCCAATTTATTATATACAACACTTATTTTACATATAATGGTAACAAATTAATTAATTTTGATTAACTACATTAGTAAACATAAACTAATAAAAATTACATTAGTACATTAAAAATAAAAGACATTAGTACATTAAAATCAAAACTTGCGTCTGTTAATATTTAATGTTAATAAAGAGCTGAAATGAACTAACAATGGACAGTTGTATTTTTATGAACTAACATTGAAAACTATTAATAAATACAATATATCATTATCTTTATTTGTAATTGTAAATGATTATAAATAAACGAACCTTGTTTTTCCACTATAAACCATACAATTCCAACTATGGCATTGTTGTGTGTATAATTATAACATATACTGTATTAATTACATATACTGTATTGATAATTGTATTATTACTATACCTTATTATCCTTTATTATATTTAAATAGATTTATTTAAAAATATAAACAATTAAAGAATTAATATAAACCATTGATTTGTTATTAAATATTAATTAATTAAATTAGCCATTAAAAATGCATTCCTGTTCACCTTGCTACACACACACACACACACACACACACACACACACACACACATATATATATATATATATATACAGTGGGTACCTGTATATATATCATGTTCTATCTCACCTGAATGATTTTCTTTTCAGTAAAATTACAAATTAAAATATAATCATAAAAATATAACCAACTCTAGCACCATTACTAATATACATCTACAGACAAACAGACAATTTTATTGTTATTATTATTATTATTATTCTGAAATATCTCAGGTGAGAAAGATTTGAACACAACACACAATGCAAGAAATTCCTCTGAGATACATCATGTATTTGATGTATTTCCTGCTCAGTGACAGTAAACGTTCTAAACTCTTCTCAAACATGAATGTTAACACTGGCAGCACTAGTTCAGAGTTCAACTTTTAAAAGTGTCAGAGCTGATCAGAGAACAGTCTGAATGGGACTGACCGTATGCGTCTGTCCTCCATTTCTTTCATCAGTCTCTCTCTTTTTTAGAGTGCTATCAGACGCTGACATTTAGATGAATGTTGGGCCTCAGGAGTGAATCTAACCTTTCTGCTCCCAGACAGCGCGGCGCGCACCCATGTGTGTGTGTGTGTGTGTGTCTTAAATCTCTCACAGATCTGCTTGGTATCACGCTTTGTCTAGTTCAGTGCTTCTCAAATTGTGCCAGAATACTTCTCAGATCTGTTGCATTGACCATGAGCTTGCGTTGGTTCTTCTTTTCTTCATAATGTACAGTCAACTGGTCATTAGTGTATGTGTGTGTACCTGAAGCCCACGATGGGGAACTCTTTACAGATATTGCACTTGGCTTGGTGTTTGGCCGTTTCTGCTGCCGCCACTCTGTGCAGGACCGGAAGCCAAACCATCGACTGTGGCTCCAGCCTCATCCAATCAATAAACTGCCTCGGCTCCAGCTCCACCTTATTGGACACCTGAGAACAAAGAGTCAGCACAAACAGCCAATCAGGGAGGGATTTCAGAAAGCCTGTACACGGCATGAGAGAATAACTCATAAACAATGCAGCCCGTCTGAAATCAAGATGATGGACGGAGCACTTCCTACCAGACCACCGTAAATGACTGTCAATCGCACGGCTGCCTTTATAGAGATATAACAGTCTCATAAATATTTCTGTGAAGCCTGAGGATTCACGGATTCAGTCACACTATCTGCAGTTACCAGGTGATTTTTAACCAGTGTAATGCTAGGAATATTAGCTACTGTAACGTTTCATCTGTCATATAGCCCTTCTCTGAATTCTCAGAAGGATCTCTGTAAAAAAATAAATGAATTCATGGACAAAATCAGTGATATTAGTACATGGATTAATTGTGACGTGTCCCTCGTTAATGAAAACAACACAATAAAAAGAGTTTACAGTAATGCACTTAAAAAGGAAGTCAATGAAGCAAGACGTTCTGAAGGGTTTGAAAGCAGTATGTGGCGCTTGTGTATTTGTTAATGAGCTTATATTCATGTTTTTTTATTTTCATGTTTTCTAAATCATCCTTTTAGCAGTGGGAATACTGTTACATGTGGATGAAGGTTATTGAGGCTTAATTACTGAAGTAATTCTGTACTTCTCTGTTTGTAAACAATCTCTCTGTTATTATTGAACATATCACATGAAAGTTAATGGGTTTAAATGATCATGAAGTTGAAAGAATGGTTAAAACATCACACAGACAAGGCTAATAAATGATTTTTTCACATTAAAGTGACAGTTCACCCAAAATTAAAATAGATTTTAATGTTTATCCTGGCTGTCTTCCATTTTAAGTGCATTACTGTAAGCATGATTTTTATTTCTTTATTTGTTTTACTGAAATTATTTTCTGTGGTGTCGTCAGAATGCCAAAGATGCGGCCTATGGAGCTTGTTTTGATGCTGGAACATTCCTGTAATTATTTGAACTCTGTGGTAAACACATTCTCATATTTCAAATTTACGAAACAAACAAGACAAAGGCAAATAAATGATCAAAACAGACAGTGCTGAAGGGATTTTGGCAGGAATTCATCTGTTGTACGGCAGCAACATTCTTGGCAGTGATGTCAGCGGTGGAATGTACTGATGCGAAAGTCTTTAAATGTCACTTAGCATTGAAACACACTCAGCGTACGAGACAATGGATGCCTGCAGATCTACGCTTTGTTGAGGCTGTGATGTCATAACCTACAGCTCTGAACTCTGACCTGTTGGTGTGTTTTGTTTCCCATCAGACACTCTCAAGCAACAAGAGAAACAGACAGGGGAAAGGGAAGAGAAATTGAGCGTTTGGGTGATTCCATCCATCAGCGCTGACGGACTGTAAATGGCTTCAGGTGTGACACTGTCCTGACTGTCTGTCTGTCATCCCTCCACTCATCTGTCTTTCATCATTCGTTTATTTCCTCTCTCAGCTTTCTGCTGTGATGTTGCTCAGCAATGTGTCCTCCTCCTCCAAACTCGCACCTAGCCTTCATTTCCAGTGTTCTGCATTCCTCTCATATCCAGAAGAGACATCTCTTCCTGTCAGTTACTTCTGATTGAATTTGTCCTCCTCATCCTCACTCATTTATAAATGACAATTTCTGTCTCTTCAAAACATTTCAGATTTGACACTGCGTGTCAGAGAGCAATCGAACCACTCAGAACAGACAGACAGATTGATGGATAAAAAGACAAATTGGACAGACAAATGGACATTTGGACAGAACCTAGACAGACAGAGAGACAGATAGATAGACAGACGGATAGATGGATAGATAGATAGACAAGAGTGTCCTGTAAAAATGTTCAGAAACAACAGTCAAACGGCAACCACTTGAACGGGACGCCTCTCTCTCTCTCTCTCTTTAAAGTGTGTATTTATAGCCTCCAGTCTAAATGCTGTAGGATTTATACTAGTGAAATGACTGGAGGACAAAAATATGAACACTCATGCAGACAACACCATTGACACACAGTGTTGTGTGAGGTAATGTGAGGATCTCACGAGCAGACAGCTTCAATAATTCACACTGCTCTATAACTGAATAGAACATCAGTCATAAACAAAGACATATCAGAGTGAAACACACGCGCTGTGATCGTCATAATGCACTGATGTGTGTGTGTGTTCACGCACATGCTGGAAGCAGCTGCGGACGCTGGGCTCGATGTTGCTCCCGCCGAAGGCTGCCACCTCGCCCAGCTGTCGAGGGATCTGAATGGCATCATGCAGCAGAAGACCCAACTGCCTCTGATCACACGTATCGCCCGCCGATGACACCTGATTAAACAGACCTGAGAGAGACACAAACAAAAAATCAGCTATAAATGTTTGCGTTTAAAAGGTAAACTTCTTTTCATTTACACAGCACTCAAAAAATTCTGCTAAGCGAGACATTGCCAAAGATGTGATACGTGAGCACAGCAGCCAAAGATGTTTCCTTCTAGAAAACAATAAAAAAGAGCAGTAGAGTGAAAAATCACGTTCTGTGTGAACGGACACTGAGAGATGAGAAACTGAGAACCCTGACAGACAGGAAGATGCATGGACAGACAGACAGCAGTACCTATCTATTTCAGACTCATGGATAGATAGCCAGACAGATAAATAGACTGATATAGACAGGCAGACAGGTGTGATATCTATCCACCTTGGATGGATGGATGGCTGAAAGGATGACATAAAATAGACAGACTTGCCAGATATCTGGATAGATAGCTGGACAGAGACAGATAGATAGACAGACAGACATACAAACTGCTACATACAGACAGACAGACAGTCAGATAGATACAGTCAGACAGATACAGACAGACAGACAGACAGACAGATAGATAGATAGATAGACAGTCAGCTAGATCGACAGACAGACACATTGCTAGAGACAGACAGCTAGACAGACAGAATGCAGACAGCTAGATATAGACAGACATAGTCAACTAGATACAGACAGACAGACAGACAGACAGTCAGCTAGCTACATAAAGACAGACAGACAGACAAATTGCTAGAGACAGACAGACTGCAGATAAGACACACAGACAGCTAGATACAGACAGACAGACTGCTAGAGACAGACAGCTAGATACAGACAGACAGACAGCTAGAGACAGACAGCTAGATACAGACAGACAGACTGCTAGAGACAGACAGCTAGATACAGACAGACAGACAGCTAGAGACAGAGATAGATAGACAGTCAGCTAGATCGACAGACAGACACATTGCTAGAGACAGACAGCTAGACAGACAGAATGCAGACAGCTAGATATAGACAGACATAGTCAACTAGATACAGACAGACAGACAGACAGACAGTCAGCTAGCTACATAAAGACAGACAGACAGACAAATTGCTAGAGACAGACAGACTGCAGATAAGACACACAGACAGCTAGATACAGACAGACAGACAAACCGTCAGTTAGCTAGATACATAAAGACAGACAGACAGACAGACAGAGACAGACAGACAAATTGCTAGATACAGACAGACTGCAGATAAGACACACAGACAGCTAGATACAGACAAACAGCTAGATAGACAGACAGCTAGATACAGACAGACAGACTGCTAGAGACAGACAGCTAGATACAGACAGACAGACAGACAGCTAGATAGACAGACAGCTAGACAGCTAGATACAGACAGACAGACAGCTAGATACAGACATACAGACAGCTAGAGACAGACAAACAGACAGTCAGCTAGACACAGACAGACTGCAGATAAGACACAGTCAACTAGATACAGACAGACAGAGAGCAAGCAAGCTAGACAGACATACAAACTGCTAGAGCCAGACAGACTGCAGATAAGAGACAGCTAGATACAGACAGACAGACAGTTAGTCAGACAGACAAATAGATGTACATTTTCAATTAGTTTAGCTTTTTACCCCACAGAATGTAAAAAAAAAATAAAAAATTCTTATCACTTGTAGATTCTTTCACAGAATTATATGGAAAATACATTATTGAATTTTTTATTTTTTTATGATGCTAAAGGCTATATCTGCTTACCATTTCTCAAGTAAACATTGTTTATTTTTGTACAAATACCAGACTACATATATTTTAAAAAACAAATAGACCATATGTTGCTGTATGTCTCATCTGTCAAAGCTTTTCTAAAAGTTCTTTGTTAAACCAAATGAATAAAACATACTGTCGTTCTATGAAATCATATCCGCTATTTCATAGCTCATAACAGTAAGAGTTCACTCTCCATCCACTCATATATGAGCATTCAATCCCAGCTCAAATGCTTCCCAGCATGCATCATTTATGTGGATAAATTAAAAAAGATAATTTAGCTTCTTTTTCATTTAATATTTAAAGCAGTCCCTTCAGTAATCTACATATTGTTTAAGATGTAATGTCGATGAACAGATTACACATTACAGCAAATTAAAAGTCCTTCAGTTAATGATAAATGTCATTTTCCATAATTTTTCATCCATCACTCTATTTCTGACCTGGGCTCAGGGACGGAGATGACCTTGATTACCAGAGCAAGAGCAGACCCCTGCCAGAGCTGTCACACACACTCTCACACACACACACACACGCTCCAGCCCTTTGTCCTGAGAGCTTCAGAGCAGTTCAATAAACTCTATTCTCACTCCAACACGCACAACTAAAGTCACACAGACACTATTTCACTGTGCGCTGTGTTAACTCAAGGTCAGCGAACAAACCCGTCTGTGATTGTCTGTCACTCAGCTCTGCTTTACAAAGTGCTGACCGGACCGAGTGAACCTCAAACTGCTGACCGAAAATGGAAAAACATGTTTTCCATCTCAACAAGCGCTAACCAGCGCAAGGATTCGTCTACTGTGAGTCCTGATCACTCAGAGGACTGAAGACTCCTGAGATGAGCCAGAACTTAAAAGAGCAAAAAGCCCAATTACGTGAGGAAGTGCATCATGGGAGTGCAGTCTGTGCTTTCAGATGACTGTGCTTTTAGAAACAAAACAGGACCGAAAAAAGAGGTAGAGCATCATGGGGTTTGTGGCGCTTCACAAACACGTTGATTAAAAGGGATAAGGCTGGGATTTGTACATGTGATCTAACAATGCTGCAGGGCACAAACACCAAAATGTTCAGTAGATATTTAGATGATCTGCAAATACATAACAAAAACCTCAACCAGCAAAAATAATGAACCTCCATTTTTAGCCTTGGACCTCATAACAGCTATATTTGATGTTAACACACAGATATGTGATACAAGTTTTTGGACACATTTTACAGTAGGTGGTGGACTAACTAACAATGTGACAATGCTATTTCAGTATTTAATTCGATAATATTATAGCATTCGTTATTATTAGCTTTAAAGATCATTTAAGTTTAAATATGTAATTTTTAATTAATTTAGTTTTTTTTTTTTATTTTGTAATATTTAGTTTTTATGAAGTATTTAGCTTCTCATTTTATTTTAGTTTTAGTAATTTTAGCACATCAACTTCAATTTATTTTAATTCAGTTGTCGAGGCAACATTTCTACGTTTTGTTTAGGTTTTACATCTAATCATTACATTTCCGCTTTATTAAAATTAATGAAAATGTTCAATTTATCATTTGATGTTCATGTCCGGTTAAGATGTTAGAAAAACAGAAGACAATAGTCTGTTATTATTTTTGGTTCTATAATTGTTATGAAAAAGAGCAAAAGAGCTTACATTTGTATTTCTCCTCCAGGTGACCCTTACAAAGAGAGAGCAGCCCAATCTTCAAGGACAGAACTCGGATTTTCCCACTGCGACCCCTGTGGCAAAACAAAAAACATTGTGGGTAAGAGGAAAAGGCAGCAATGAGCACATGACAATACTACACATCTGCCATGATCGATTAGGGAATACACTTCAGTAGTGTTTATATAACACTGCATCCATATTGGAAGCATCCAAGGTCGGAGCTTGAGAGTGTCTAAAATACACACAACACATCAATCAACTGTGAGCTCCAGGCGAGCCTTCAGCAAAATCAGGGGATTTCTTTGTCTCCCACCTGATTTACAATGGAAATGCACTGACATAAAAATATTCAGAACAGTGAAACTAATTTAATGTTATTATTTACACAACTGCATATGCTATGGAAACCTGTTTCTGCTACTGATAAAAAAAATTAAAAAAAAGTAATTGCGACTTTTTCATCTCTCAATTCTATACATTTTTTTCCCCAGAATTGCATGATATGAACTCGCAATTCTAACTTTTTTCTTAGAATTGTGTGATACAAACTAGCAATTGTGAGAAATAGTCAGAATTGAGAGATGTAAACTCAATTCTGAGAAAAAATGTAGAATTGCGAGATATAAATAAATTTTTCTCAGAATTGTGTGATATAAACTTGAAATTCACAGAAATAGTCAGAATTGTGATATAAATGATTTTTTTCTCAGAATTGCGTGATATATATATGTAAATCTGAGAAATAGTCCAAATTGTGAGATGAATACTCGCAATCTTGAGAAAAAGTTAGAATTGCGAGAAATAAATTCTTTTTTTCTCAGAACTGCGTGATATAAACTTCAGAATCCTAGAAAATCAGAATAGCGAGATGTAAACTCATCTCATATAAAACAAGTTTATATCTCGCATTTCTGACCTTATAATTTGCAATTGTGAGTTTAAATCACACAATTCTGGGGGGAAAAAGTCAGAATTGTGAGATTTAAACTGGCAATTCTGAGAAATAAAGTTGCGATCCTGTGAAATAAAGGCAGAATTGCATGATGTAAATTCGCAATTGCAGGAAAAAAAGTCAAAACTGTGAGACTTAAACTCGCCATTCTGAGATATAAAGTCAGAATTGCATGATATAAACTCGCAAATGCGAGAAAAAAAATTCAGAATTGCGAGATGTAAATTCACAATTGCGAGAAAAAGGTCAGAATTACTAGTTCATATCTCACAATTCTGACTTTATGACTCGCAATTGCGAGTTTATATCATGCAAGACATACTCGCAATTGCGAAAAAAAAAAAAAAATTTGTAAGATAAATAGCAATTAATGTGTTTTATTTTTTATTTAGTGGCAGAAAGTGGCTTCCATAATATGCACATGATCCGAAACATTAGGTGCTGAGTAGACCAAAGACATCCTGAACTTAAAGGGATACTCCACCCCAAAATGAAAATTTTGTCATTAATCACTTACCCCCATGTCGTTCCAAACCCGTAAAAGCTTTGTTCGTCTTCGGAACGCGCAGAAAACAAAAATAACGACTTTATTCAACAATTCGTCTCCTCTGTGTCTCTCCGCATCACCGTAGCGCCATTTTGGAGAATAACTGCTGAACGAAAGCAGCGTACGCTCTTCTGTGTCAGCCGCGACACAAGGATACGTTTTCTACGTGTATTTACGCTTTGATTTGAACGAAAACAGCGCATCCGTGCAGCGTGGCTGACACAGAATAGCGTACATTGCTTGCATTCAGTGGTTATTCTCCAAAATGGCGCTACGGTGATGCGGAGAGACACAGAGGAGACGAATTGTTGAATAAAGTCGTTATTTTTGTTTTCTTTGCGTACAAAAAGTATTCTCGTCGCTTCATAACGTTACGGTTGAACCACTGATGGCAGATGGACTATTCTGACAATGTCTTTCATACTTTTCTGGACCTTGACAGTGTAATTTACTTGGCATCAATGGGACAGTCACAAGCCTCCCGGATTTCATCCAAAATATCTTAAATTGTGTTCCGAAGACGAACGAAGCTTTTACGGGTTTGGAACGACATGGGGCTAAGTGATTAATGACAACATTTTCATTTTGGGGTGGAGTATCCCTTTAACTTGATGCAAGTCTGATGTTATGTAGATATATAATGAATAACAAACTCTTAGCAATCAGTTTACGATATTTCTAAAATCAAAACATACGTTTTCAAATGGATGTGGAAAATAAATCGACTGTTGTAAATTGTAACAGGGTGTTCGTCAGGTAAAGACATGCGTCATTAGGCACTAGCTGTGCACACAATGGCAGGATTTTAATGCAAGTGTCGTTGTGTCATAACAAGCCACATGTCTGGTGTAGAGACAGCGCAAGTGTGTAATACGTACGTGTCATAGACGTTGAGCAGCCAGTTGAGACACATGTCCACACACAGCGGGACGTTGACCAGGTCTTTGTGCTCCTGCTCCAGTCCATCATACACAGACGTCAAGCAGTTGATGATCTCAGGAACCGTCAGCTGCTGGGAGTTCACCGTCAACTTGTGCTGCTGGAACATGGACTGAGCCACACTCAGATCCAGCAGATCCACTGAGACACAGAGAGAGACAATGTTGGTCTTCACTGAACTCAAAATCAATCAGTGCTGCAGCCGTCAGCCGTCAAAACCCACAAGAATAATTCACTACGGGTTCCCTCGAGACTTTCCTATGGGGTTTTTTTAATGGGGCATTTCACTCACAACCCAATGGCTTTATGTAGTTACTTATTACAAACATACTTTAAAAAAAAATATGAATACAATTCAAATTTGCATTTTCAGTATGGCTGTTGAAGAGCAAAACGAAAAATCTTCAATTTATATTTACCACAGTCCTTGTTCTACTCATATATTGGAAAACCCAACTACCGTATAAAAACCCAAAGGAAAATCTTGAGGGAACCAATGGCAAATTTGACTTCAATCAGTCATGCATGGTACTAGTAACGTCAAAGTCATGGGTTCGATTCACAAAGAAAGCAAGAACTGATCAAATGTAAATGTGCAGCTTGAATGCAATGTAAGTCACTTAGGATAAAAGTGTCTGCTAAATAAATAATTGCAAATGCAAATGCTAAAAAAATACATTTTTATTTATGTATTAGTTCTTAAGCAGTTTAAAAAGGTGGGTTTTTTTCAATACGAAAATAATATATATATATTATGTAGGTGCAAAATAAAAATGACATTTATTTTTGCACAGAGTATTGAAAGGTAGCTTCCTCAAGGTGCTTTACATGAGAAAAATAAATAAAAGAACACGAGTAATTAAAAAGAACACATAAATACAGCAATCAAATAAAAGCTTTTACAAAATTATACAGATTTAAATATTCTAGTAGACTGACTTCATAACAGCAATTTTTGGGGCGTCAGAAAAGATCAGAAGTATCTGTCCCCTCATAGGCACAAGAGAAATACTGAGGACATAAATTAAAAATAAGTAATTAAATAGTCATTAAAAACACATTAAAGGGCATATTTAGCACCAAGTGACTATGCAGCAATACAGTCATCAACAGCAATATGTATTTAAGAGAAATGCCATTTGAGTACATCGATGAACAGTTTTGAGCAATGTTCGTACTACTCACTTGAGTTTTGAATGACTCGCTGAAATGGACTGAACTCTAACAGTGTTTTTGCTACTAAAGTTTAAATCCCAGATGCTACTAAATCTTGAAGCTCTTTCCTTATGCATGACAAGAAGGGGTTGTCAATACGGTTTCATGATAGTGGTCTCTTACACTATTGCAAAGGCTAATCTGATGCAGTCTATTATTTACAGACCACACACAAATTATTGCAGTGATCACTAGAATATTATACAAAAATAATAGACCTCTGAATGTATATTTTATTAAGCAATGCAACACAATTTTCACAGAAAACTAAATATAAACTTGTAATGCCAAAACTTAAATGTTCAAGGTTTGCTTTCAAGCTATGTCTTCAAGAACGAACGTGAGCATCAGAAATCTACAAAAATAGAAACTAAGCCACTGGCAAAATGTCTTGTTAGCAGTCACAGCCGGTTAGGGCAAACATCCCGATTAACATGGAAGTTTTATAGCTTGTCACTTCACGGCGTCACGCTCCGTTAGGACACGGTGTCAGCGTCTGAACCATCAACACTATTCATCTTTGATGGAGCGATGGATGCCATATTCCCTGTTTACACTTTTAATGAGACCAATTAACAACTCAAGAAACAAACACGCATGTAAATGAAGAGATCACGTACACACACGCTCCTCACTCATTCTCTGTGTGCTGTTAATTGGGCCTCTCTGAGTTAATTGAGTCGATGGAGTGAGACGATGCAAGCATGCAGCTCTAATATAACACACTTACAGCAGAGGGCTTTCTGTAGCCGGCGGATCTTCATAGCCGTCCTGTATGCCGAGAAGCGCACGTTGTTGAGGTCAGCTAAAGGGAAACAGAAGAGAAAGTGTACTGAACTGAACTGAGTCTGAGTTCAGGAATGAGGAACGTTCAATGTGTGAAAAAGATGTTCGATTCACGGATGAATTGTTTATTTGAGTCCGTTATTTTTAATGATTCGCGACATGTGAAATCCATAAATAGTGCACCATCTGACATGATCTACATACACAATCTGAACTTGACAACAGGGTTATAAAACTGCAGCATTTCATTAAATATTTCACAACAACAAGTTAAAAAAAAAGGTCTGTGTTAATGAGTGTGTTGACAAGCATGTTCTTACACCAGTTAAGGTTAACAAGTCAACAAGATGTAAAGGTCATCTAACAGGTTGAACTGGGTCCTTGTTAGGAAAAGGTCAAAATATGATTGATACACTTTGTCTTTTCTGTCAACTGTAAGTGCTTGTCTTAATTTGTATGCTAATTTCAAAATCTTTTCTAATGTTATTTTTATAGCTATCAGTGCTGTACATGTAAACATATTTAATGAAAGTGTGTATTAGCATTAGTAGCACAGAATTAGCATCAGAATTAGACTACCTATCCTGGCCCAAAATCTGACTGACTCTAAAATTATTCAAATTACATATAATCTTCAATAAATAAATAAATACAAACAATTGGTCTCACGTTTTATTGTTTTTGTTAACTAAAATGATTAAAATTGCTTTCATTAACTAAAATGAAATACACATACATTTATAAACATTTATTATACATATTATATCTATATATTATGTGTGTATATATATATGATATGACAAAAAAACCTTAAAACAAAAATATAACATGAACTTGCAATAAAAAACTACTTGGAAAGCATTTGTTTATGTAAATTTCAATATTTACTAATACTTTATTCAAATCAAAAGTTGTATCTGTTAATATTATTTAATGGAAATGAACGAACAATGAACAGTTGCATTTTTATTAATTAACTTTAACAAAGATTAATAAATACTGTAACAAATGTACTGCTCATTGTTACTGCATTAACTAATATTAAGTAATGGGAACTTATTTTATAGTGTTACCAATAAGTTGAAGTACTAAAATATTACTATTACTATAAAACTGAATTGAAAATAAATTAAAGCTAAATAAAATGTATTTTAAAGCAACAATGACAAACACACCTAAATACTATAATAGTATATAAATAACACAAAAATAAAACTGGTCTAGCCGTTTTTATTAGTGAATAACTAGCGTGAAATAGCAATGAAGAATACATTTACATTATCACAGTCAATAATAAATGTTAATTTCTACATACACTAATACGTTAACATTTAAAGTTTTAGTTAATTAGCATGAACAAACATGTGTTAACAAGGAGCAATAGAATATTTATAAATTAACATTAATCTACACTAATAACTAATATAAAATGTTCTTAATTGTTGCTTTATAATACCTAATGCATTACCTAATGTAAAAAAACTATTTTTTTGAACCAAACCCAAAACTGACCCCCATCACATTTAGTTTGTGTCCTCTCTGTATAACTGTGAATAGTTGCCCTCGGGTTCACGTGTGTGTGTGTGTGTGTGTGTGTGTGTCTCTGGAGGTTTCCTGCCTTTCAGAGACAGCAAACACAGACACACACCTCCTCTGTGGATAGATGCTGTCCAGTATTTCTTCAGCTGTGGATTTAGGCGAGACTTGAGCTGCTCTCAGCGCGTCTCTGAAGGGTGATAAGACACGAGTCTCTGTGTGTGTGTGTTTGTGTCACTTACAGAGAGAGTGATAGAGCTCGGTCATCTTGGGATGGTCCCAGCACGTCGTCTGACTCTGATGACTGCAGAAGACAACAGAGAGGGACAATATGACTCTCTAGTCTCTACACCGTCTGCTGTTATTGTGTGTGTTTGTGCTATTTTTCCATTTGTATGAACAGAATTACAACATTTTGATTCCAACAAATGTTGAATCTCTTAAGTCAGTGATTCCCAAACTTTGTACACAGTTTAACCCCTTAAATGTACCAAATTGATTTGTACAATTTATTTTTTTCTTCCTCCCCTCTCCTTTATAATATATTTATTTACTTAATTATCCTGTGATTATTTGATTTATTTTCAATATTATTTTCCTTCTTTCCTCTCTTTATCTTTTTTAATGTTTTTTTTCCTCCTCCTGGTCTCTCTCACTTTTTTCTTTCTTTCTCTCTCTTGAATAATCTATTTTATATACATTCAAGATAAAGAGGTGTACAACACGTCTGCATAACAATCTTACACCAAACACTTCACATAATTACAAATGTAACTTTACTGTGTGTGTGTGTGTGTGTGTTTTTTTGGGTTAGTTTGTGTGTTCACTGTCTGACTTGGTTTATATTTAAAGCACTGTTTTCCTCCATTTGTACTATGTTTTTCTTTATGTCTTATATTGTCTTGCTCTGAAAAAAAAAAAGAGCTCCACTGGGATTTTAGACACACATTTCAATAATTTGATGACATTTGCATGTTCATTATGTCTCAATGTTGACTAATGTTTATATAGCAAAAAGGTAAACGATTACAACATTTCATCTTTTTAGTAGGTGTGTTTTATTTTTTACTTCTATCTTATATTTACTTATATATTTTTTACTATATCATCACATATTGTGATTGCAACTGTGATATAACGTTATCTCTCATGAAAGCACCCCCACACAGAATTGTTTTAATTGTGTTTAATAATTATTTTTTTTCGATTGGGTAGGCATTGTCTGCTGGCTTCCATTGTGGAATATGCTGTGTTTTCTGCCAACTGGCAACCCGGGGTGTCAAAATACGATTGGCTGAATTGGCAGTGGGTGGAGTCACACAGACCAAAACAAAAACAGACATTCCGTCATGGAACATACGTTTTAAAGCAAAATAACAATAGGGTTACTTGCGTAACCCCGGTTCTCTGATAGCATTAAGTGAGGTGTCTCACTATGGGATACGCCCCTTCCGCGTATTCCTAGAAGCCCTATTACATTACGCCAGCCCCAATTGGCTGGCAGACGTGACGTTGTGTCTGGGAGTGGCCTCCCCACCCCTCAGTATAAAGGGCACAACACAACGTCACCACGACATTCAAAACAAGCACACCTCTTCCTCGCTTCGCACAGCAAGGAGGGTGATCTGGTGAGACACCTCACTTAATGCTATCAGAGAACCGGGGTTACGCAAGTAACCTATTGTTCTCTTTCAAGCATACATTTCGGTGTCTCACTATGGGATATCCTAACTCCCGTATTGCCAGATAGCCTGCCTCGAAGTCTCCTGCCAACCACAATCACCGCATCCGGGACACCGAAACGTATGCTTGAAAGAGAACTGGCTGTTTTTCAGAGAAACGGATACGTAAACGTACCATGTTTCCTAAATATCTGCAAACAGCTGCATTACGCTAGTTTTATGCTTTAGTACAGTCAAAAAATTACACAGCACCTTTAAGTAAAGTTGGAACACACTGATTGTGGACCTCTGGCTATTGGTTAGGAAAAAACAAAACGAACATTGTAACGTTCTTTCACTGTACAGCTTGCTATTCATGATTCAAGCTTAGCAATTCTTAGTGTTTGATGCATGAGCAGAGCTAGATGGTGCGTGGAAAGGTAATCAAGCTTGAAATGTTTGCTAAAATGACTACAGATGACAAGATTTATAAAATAAGTTACATTTTGGTCCGTTCTAAGCCCAAAACTGATCAGATCGCTTCAGAAGATGTGTTTTCGTGAGTTGTATGGATTATTTTTATGTTGCCTTCACATACTTTTAGGAGCTTCAAAGTTGGTCACCACTCACTTTCATTGTACCTACAGAGCGAATATTATTTCTGAAATCTAAAAGTCACAGAAAGTCAAGAAAGTCACACATCTGGGACGGCATGGCATGACAAGTTTCATTTTTGCATGAACTGTTTCTTTAAGAATTAATCTCATGAATAATGTCTGGAGTGGTTCTAATCTTGAGGCAGACAGCAGATTTGCAAGCGAACACGATGTCTGACTGAGTTTCTGTCTCTGTCTCATCATCTCATTTATGACTCGTTCACATGTTGATAGAGGTCCTCTCTCCGCTCCGCTGCTATCGCCAGACGGCTCAAACCGTCTCAGCCAGACCCAACAGACGGAGCGCCGGGGACATGAGCAGCCTTAAACAGACCCTGATGGGTGTTCAGAGCTCAGCTTTACTGACGCATGCAAGGAGCCAGGTGTGATGGCGGATAACCGTTCTGTCACATAAATTGATTTTCAGCGGGATCAGTGAGGACTGCGGTGTTCGGAGGTCTGTGCTCTGGGCTATAATTTAACTGGTTACTGCAAACCGGTGAAATAACCATCTATAGCAGGACAACAGCAAATCATCATCTACAAAACTACAGTCAGCTGCCTTACTGTCTACAGCAATATTCAGTGACGATAGTTTAATAAGACAAAAAGTGTGGTATTTCATCCATCGTACCTGAATATTGCTGTAAATTGCTGAATTGCTGTTCAGTAAATGTTCTATTAATGTGTGGCAATGCATTCTGGGATTTGTGAATTGGTGATTCCATAGCATTCAAAGTATTATAGAAGAACCCTGGCATATCTTGCTGATGCAGTGAATGATTACTCGTATATTTACATGGTATACATCAAAATACCGTGGTACAACCACAGTACATTTTTAATGCTGTGCATCTACTTTCCACTAGCTGTTTCATTGCAAGTGCTGTAATGAAATGACTTCTTACACAACATTTAAAAGTCTGGGGCTGAAATTATTATTATTTTTTTTATGTTTTTGAAAAAAAGTTTCTCATGCTCACCAAGGCTGAATTTATTTGAACAAAATACAGTAAATCAGTAATATTTTGAAATATTATTATAATTTAAAATAACTCTTTTCTATGTGAATATATTGTGTGATCATTACTCCAGTCTTCAGTGTCACATGATCCTTCAGAAATCATTCTGATATGCTGATGTGCTGCTCAAGAAACATTTCTGATTATTGTGAATGTTGATATTTGTATTTGTGTGTGTGTGTGTGTGTGTCTGTCTGTGCGAGTGTGTGAATGTGTGTCTGTGTGAGTGTGTGTGAGTGTGTGTGTGTGTGTGTGAGAGTGTGTGTGTGTGTGTGAGTGTGTGTGTGTGAGTGTGAGTGACTGTGTGTGTGTGTGTGTGTGTGTCTGTGTGTGTGTGTGTGTGTGTGCGCGTGTGTGTGCGTGAGTGTGAGTGTGCGTGAGTGTGTGAAAACCATAATACCTTTTTTTCAGGATTTCTTGATTAAGAGAAAGTTCAACAGAACAAAATTTATTTGAAATAGAAATCTTTTATAGCACAATTACTGTCACTTTTGAGGAATTTAAAGTGTCCTTGCAAAAAAGAAAGAAAACAAGTATTCATTTATTTTTCAAAAGAGAAAAAAAAAAGAAAGAAACTGACTAACTGACCCCAAACTTTAGAAAAGGTGGAGTAAATGTTTAAAGCACTGAAAAAATATATGTGTGTGTGTGTGTGTGCGCGTGTGTGTGCGTGAGTGTGAGTGTGCGTGAGTGTGTGTGTGTGAAAACCATAATACCTTTTTTTCAGGATTTCTTGATTAAGAGAAAGTTCAACAGAACAAAATTTATTTGAAATAGAAATCTTTTATAGCACAATTACTGTCACTTTTGAGGAATTTAAAGTGTCCTTGCAAAAAAGAAAGAAAACAAGTATTCATTTATTTTTCAAAAGAGAAAAAAAAAAGAAAGAAACTGACTAACTGACCCCAAACTTTAGAAAAGGTGGAGTAAATGTTTAAAGCACTGAAAAAATATATGAAGTATATATAATTAAATAAAGAACAAACTAAATAACTGCTTGGTTACATTCTGCATCCTGAGCAGCAGGCAGAGGTTTACAGTACAGGATGTGAGAGGAGTTTCACTGAGAGCTGCTTACAGGATTAGATGCTGCTCTCTCATCTCTCACGCACACACACACACACACACACACACCCCCCCTAGTTTCAAACATACTTCATCCCTTTGATCTCTTCAATTAATGTTTGATTATTTGAATCAGCATAAGTATTTGTGTGTGTTAGAGAAAATTTGTCGAGAAGAGCCAGTATTTCACTCTTGTGAATTGCAAGAATCTTGGCTTATATAAAAGCAAAGCAAAAGCAAAGCAAAACTCCAGATGAACAGATGACAGATAATATTAATAAAAAAATTCAATAATTTTGTCTATAAAAATATAATATACATAATAAAACACAAACCATATAAATGTCTATAAAATATATAATATTCAATCTAATTTCACTGTAAAGTCATTCTATTATGCAAACATATATAATAGAAAATAATTACAATAATTGTAATTATTTATATATGTGTATATATCACATATAATCATCATCATCAATACAAAGTTTCATGGTATAAGGTGCATTCGATTCACATATCTGTTTTAATTCTAACATAAAAGAGTGAATAGATTTAAATACATGTGCTATTTAAATTATTTTAATATAACATTAATGTTAATATAATACCATTATTAATAATTTATTTGTTAGGTATGGTTCCATGCACTAAGCAGAATAATGTTCTACTGTTCATTAAACAAACAAACAAAAAAGAGTGAGACATGGACATTACTAAAATGAACAAAAGAGATCTGAAATCAGATTTAAGGCCAGGAACAGTGTGAATGCAAAGAGAACTGGTTCATTTTTCACTTTTTGATCCACTTAAAGGCGTTTTATTAAAGATCACCCAAGTGCAAAAACACCTTATTTGTGGCTGTTTTGTCTCAAGTCTCTTTTCTTGAAAGCCGTTTGACAGGTAAAGCAGCCTGTCATGGCCAACAAGCTCCCGCAGATCGCCCTCCACACCGATCTCTGACTTCAGACGGCTGAGGGCTTTCCCTCACAATTACCAGGGCGCCGAGAGCCAGCGACTTTTAATTAGGAAGACCAATACACTTTGCTAATTGCCGCTGCCTCAGAACAGGAAGATCAATGAGCCGAGAGGACACGTCGTACAGAGAACCAAACGTTTGTTCTGGAGATCAGCTCTAGATGTAAGAGCACAGAGAGCTTCGAGCAGCCTCATACAAGGCTTTCTGCAAATGTAAGAGAGATTCCCTCGGGAAATGAAACGATGAGAATAAAGCATCTCTGCTGTATTCATATATGCACGGCCATATGGGGACTGTCAGAGAAGAGGAGTTCAGCTACCGGGCATTCGTCACAACACACCTGCTGCCCTGCACACACACGGCTGCTTTTGTCTGTTTCTGCTTTTACAGGCCCCTTTCATCTCCTTTTCTCAACTACAAAACTCCAGGGTTAAAACGTAACGTAACGCACTGCTGATCTGGAACAATCTGTTCGGCACAATTCAGCATCACAGTTTAGTGACTAATAACTGTAGTAGACCATGCATTTTAATAGACACCACAGATGCCATGGTGAATTTCCGTAAAGTCTATTCTATTTTTTTTTTGCTCTCTAGGTCACTATTATTTTTCCATCTTAATTCACATGCCATTCATCCTCCTCCATGTCTGGCTCATTGTCAGGATGCTGCTGTAAGCAAAAGTCTTTCTCTCTCGGGGCTCGATGGGCACTTAGCTGAAGGGACAATGTATTCGGGCAGAGGAGTTGTAACTGAGGGAATTGCTTATAGTCTGCAGAGATGTTGTGAGGTCACGCTTGAATTTACTGAATAAATCCTGCTTGCCGTGGTGGCTCGGATTTGACTGTTTTTTACATGACAAATGTGAGTTAGGATACAGAACCTGATCTCCACTGAGACCCTGGGGTCCTAGATCAGGCCAATAAGTTTGGGATTGTGTTTTTTTTTTCCTTCCATTTTTTAAAGATTTTTTTTTTTTTCCCCAGCAAGGATGCATTAAATTGATCAAAATTGACAGTAAATTCATTCATGATGTTACAAAGGATTTTTCTTTCAAATAACTGTTTTTCTGTCAAATAACACAATATATACAATATATATATATTGTAGTTTTCACAAAAACATGAAGCAGCACAACTGCTTTCATCATTGATAATAATCAGAAATGTTTCTTGAGCAGCATATTAGAATGATTTCTGAAGGATCATGTGACACTGAAGACTGGAGTAATGATGCTGAAAATTCAGCTTTGATCTCAGGAATAAATTATATTTTAAAATGTATTCACACAGAAAACAGTCAATTTAAATTCTAATAATATTTCTACATTTTTTATTATATTTTTATATTTAATAAATTCAGCCTCAGAGATTTTCAAAACATTTTTAACATCTTACCGACTCAAACTTTTGAACGGCAGTTTATATTAAAAATAAATTTAAAAATGTACAATAACAATTTGCTCCCGAAATGTGTCAATGCCAAAAGTAATTCGCAAAGGTGTCCCTATGAGCCATACATCAGCTCAGTCCACCATTTCAGCCAAACTTTGAAACCGTTTGCTAGTGTGTTTCTATGTTCAAAAAGCGGATTTCACACCATGCTGGTGTCAAAACGACTCGGTTCCGCTCCGACAGCTCTGAAGTGAAAGCACCCTTAAAGAGATCAGTCCACATTGAAACAGATGTGCGGCTATGTCTGAGGGAGCACTTACTTGATGTAGTAGGGCACTTTATTCTGGGACACTGCTCTCTGCCAGGGCACCTGCACCGAAGCTGCGGACACATAATAAAAGATTGATTAGAGCGGAGATCAGGGGTCTGATCTCAACTCTGTTGGTAAATGAAGCATTAATTAAGAACATCTCTCTCATATCAGCGGACTCTCGCTCTTTTAATTTCTCCAGACACTAAAGTAACGTTCCCAAGGTTCACACTGGATGATATATATCGCAGAACTGCTCTCTCAGCAGAATTTACTGGACGCAACACTTTACTGGATTTCACAGCGAATGTCATGGGATTCAAGATGCTACAACTTGCAACTGCACCGAAGCTGCGGACACATAATAAAAGATTGATTAGAGCGGAGATCAGGGGTCTGATCTCAACTCTGTTGGTAAATGAAGCATTAATTAAGAACATCTCTCTCATATCAGCGGACTCTCGCTCTTTTAATTTCTCCAGACACTAAAGTAACGTTCCCAAGGTTCACACTGGATGATATATATCGCAGAACTGCTCTCTCAGCAGAATTTACTGGACGCAACACTTTACTGGATTTCACAGCGAATGTCATGGGATTCAAGATGCTACAACTTCAAAGGCTCTAAAAAAAACTCTAGTGACGGTCTTAAGTAAAGAGCTTTCCGCATGTCTCGTGTCAGCATTACACAAACTGTAGAGTAACTTACAGCACAGGCATGGATAAGAAAAGGAGGCAGGTAACACAAGGTTAAAAAAAAAAAAAAAAAACTTAACCCCATTTACTGCCAACATTTCGGAAATAAGGTGTAGGGTGAGAAAGAATATTGTTTTATGTACTGTTATTGTTACATCTTATTTAATATAATGTAATTGACACATTTTCATTGCCAATAAAGGAAACATTAAAACTGATAAAATAAAACGTGTGTGTTAATGACTGCTCTTGACAGCCCATTGAAACAGAAAATAGTGGACAGTTAACCTCTGAATTATTAAACACAAAAGCTTTGCCACTGTTAAAAGTGTATATGTGTGTGCTGAGGTGTGATTTTCCATCATATCTGACACTGGCTGCTTAATTTTTCATGGCTGACAGTTACTGTTTGTGTGTGAGTGTAAACTTGTGCCAATTAAAATCAAATTAATTTTCATTATTTTTGTCCCCTCAATGAGAATGAGTTGGCAAATCTCTGTGATTACAGCACTGATACTATTAACACTCTACAAAAGCAATTACATCCGTGAATATTACATGAACATTAAATATTTAAAGTAGAGACTGAAACAAGTTGCTACTATTCTCCCCAAACAAAGAGAAGACATTTAAGTCAGAAATGCAAGGGATTTTTCACTGGTTTTCATATCTTCAAGATGAATATCTCTTAGTAAAGTAAACAGACCTTTCATCAACAAGTTTGAAGACTGAAGCATCAATTATTTCAAATTGTGCAGGATAAGCTAACTATACCTAACCACATATACTAGTATAAACAGTTGAAAACAGCAAAATGTGTCACCAGAGTGTGTTATGTTTTAGATGCTGTCATGCTGGTGTTCCCATCCGGATCTTAACTAGTTTAACCAGCGAGACTTCATTGGTCAACCGATTTCACTAGCTGCTCATATACTGTGTTGGTCCACCAGCTACACCAGCTTCAAACTAACACTAACCATTGAGAACTCATGCTGTCTAAGCTGGTCTTTTCAGGAGGGGTTGTAATAGTAAAGTTGCCTTGGCAAGTACCACTAACTTTTCAGGCAGCACTGAAGCCCAGTGAAATAAAGCTGACATTATAGTGTGAATTTATTCATGTGTTTTGACTCACTGGATAAGAAGTGTTGAGAGGAGGGTCCAAAATCCCTGTGTGCTTCCTGTAAGAGCTTCAACCTGTCCTCTACAGCCGCCTGGAGACAGACAGAGACAGGGAGAGAGAAAGTTAGGTTGGCTGCTAAATGGAATATGACAAACAAGCTGAAAAAAAAATGCATCCACACAGTCACAGCAGGGCACAAATCTCAGCGCATGAAAGACAGTAATGAACAGACACACTCAAGACTTAGTCCTTCTGCACCGTCAGTGAGTGTGCTAAACAGATCCTGAGGAAAACAGATACAGTCTCATCAGACACATCACACACACACCACTTCTGAGAACAACATACATCCTCACGCACACAGACTGCACTAATGACACAAGAGAAGAGACTGGATTTATTAGGATTTGTTATTAGGAAGGGAAGGGAAGGTAAGGGAAGGGAAGGGAAAATGGAAGGGAAGGGAAGGGAAGGGAAAAGGGAAGGGAAGGCAAGGGAATATAGTGTGAATTTATTCATGTGTTTTGACTCACTGGATAAGAAGTGTTGAGAGGAGGGTCCAAAATCCCTGTGTGCTTCCTGTAAGAGCTTCAACCTGTCCTCTACAGCCGCCTGGAGACAGACAGAGACAGGGAGAGAGAAAGTTAGGTTGGCTGCTAAATGGAATATGACAAACAAGCTGAAAAAAAAATGCATCCACACAGTCACAGCAGGGCACAAATCTCAGCGCATGAAAGACAGTAATGAACAGACACACTCAAGACTTAGTCCTTCTGCACCGTCAGTGAGTGTGCTAAACAGATCCTGAGGAAAACAGATACAGTCTCATCAGACACATCACACACACACCACTTCTGAGAACAACATACATCCTCACGCACACAGACTGCACTAATGACACAAGAGAAGAGACTGGATTTATTAGGATTTGTTATTAGGAAGGGAAGGGAAGGTAAGGGAAGGGAAGGGAAAATGGAAGGGAAGGGAAGGGAAGGGAAAAGGGAAGGGAAGGGAAGGGAAGGGAAGGGAAGGGAAGATGGAAGGGAAAATGGAAGGGAAGGGAAGGGAAAATGGAAGGGAAGGGAAGGGAAGGGAAGAATGGAAAAGGCAAGGGAAAAGGGAAGGAAATGGAAAAGGGAAGGGAAAAGGGAAGGATATATGAAAAAGAACAGGAAGAGGAGAGGAGTGTGTATGAAATGAAAAAGAAGTGGAAGAATTAGGAAAGGAAAATGAAAAGGAGAGGAGTATGCAGATAACCTGCATGAAAGGAACAGGAAAGGAAAAGGAAAATGAATGAGGAAAGGAAAGCAAAGGAAATGGGAAAATAAAAAAGAAAGGAATAGAAAAAGGAAATGAATATGCATCGCACCTGCATAAACAGAACAGGAAGATGAAGGAGAAGGAAAGCAAAAGGGAAAGGAAAAACTACAGGAAAAAAAAGTAATATGGAAAAAGGAAAAGGCAAAATAATAGGCAAAAGACCTGCAGTAGTTTCCAGCGCATGTTGAGGTTGTCTAACTGGCGGTTGGCGGTGGAGGACAGCTGGACATCCAGTGGGGTCAGCTGACCTGCCAGATCATTCACAGCTCGGACATCCTGTTTCAGAGGCGCGATCTCATCACAGAACACCTGAAACACACACAGAGAGAGAGAGAGAGAGAGAGAGAGAGAGAGAAATAAATCACATTACCATCTTTATCTCTGCATATCGCCCAAACACAAATTTAAATAAATCATCAGCCGGAGCGTTTGGCAATGACTCATAGCATGTGTGAGAGGTGTAACAGCGTCATCGTGGGATAAAACTATAAAAATAGCTTCAGGCAGGAAAATGATTAACTAGAATATACTAGAATAATCCTTAAAGGAATAGTTCACACAAAAATGGAAATTCTGTCACTATTTACCCTCCCTTGTGTTCTTCAAACCCAAAGGATTATGTTTCTTTAATGGAATACCTTATGATCGAGATGTTAAACTAAATGTTCACATAGTTCTTGTTCATACAATGAAAGTAAAATTGACCAGGGCCTGTCATACTGCAAAAAAGCCAATTTTTTGGTATCTTTTATGCACCTTTTTGTCCTTTTTGAAGCTTCACAACCCCCATTTCCTAGTAGTGAAAAGCATCATGATGAATATCTTCTTTTATGCTCCACAGAAGTAAGTAAGTCATACAGGTTTGAAATGAAATCATGAATGAATGATGACAGAATTATCATTTTTAGAATTAATAATCCAGGATGAATTGACTGAACTTTCATACCGACAAGAAAAGTAACGTACCGTTGTTTTCTCGATGTGATCCTGTAGGGAATCTATGAGAAGGTCTCCCACCGGTTGCCACCCTGCTTTGAGCTCCTCGGCCTGGGCTAGACGCAGGTCCAGCTGGTCCATGGAGCTCTGGAGATCCTGGAGTTTATCCAGTGCTCTGTCCACCTGCTCTTGCCAGGTTCCCGCGTGTCCCATCAGCCTCTCCCAGCGCTCGCCCACCTCTGCAGTCTGCTTACGAATCGCCTTAGCCACCCGCTGGGCCTTCTCCTCCGGGGTCAGCTCTATGAAAAACAGCAGACGCAAACTCAATTTAAATTACATCTTCACTTCCATTGACCTCAATTAAGTTCATTTTGGAAACTTTTGTAATAAAAAAGGTAAATTCAGCCGGCAACAAGAGACTCTACTTCTGGAATGGTTTCTATTTCTGTAATGTTGTGTCTGGGAACAAAAACATATTAACTATGGGCTTAATCACACCTGCCTCATTTCATAACCTGCCATGTTTTCTCCCTTAGTTTGGTTAAATACATTACACACACACAAAAAAAAAAAAAAAGTTTCAATCATGACAACTCTCTTAAGATTTTAGCATGGTGATGTATATGACAATGGTAATGTATTTGGTCTTGGTGGAATAGATCTGCTACACTGCTGCTGAATTGCTGCTGCTGTTGGTTATTGCTGTAGTTGTAGATTATTGCTGCAAGCAAGTACAGGAACTTGCTACTGTCAATGCATACGGCGATACAGTGCTGTTGCTTATTTAAGACATACTGCTGCTGCACAAATAGCATAGAAAATAACCCCCCAACAAAGCTGGAAGAAGAAAACAAAACAACTAAATATGTACGCTGCTGCTATACAATAATATGCTTAAAATCATCCATATAAGGCAGAAGAAATATAAAAGATAAAACCCCCCAGAACAAGCAGATCTATTGCCAAGACGTATGTACTCCTGCTGCTCCGAAAAGCCGTGAGACCGTATGTTTGCGATCTATGTGAGCCTGGGCCGGCTTTGCCGAATGGCGTAACGCTAGTGAACTAATGCTGTGTGTAGCTTAAAGTATAGTGACCTGAGTTAAATGTGTTTCTGGGCTAATGGAGCCCAGATAAATTAACTAGTGGCTAAACAATGTGAACCTGGGTTCTGTACCCTTAGGTTTATTTAACTAATGACCTAAATAACGATGTGTGTCAATTGCGTTTGGATGCACACCAAAACAAATCAGTCCAAAATCGTATGAACAATGTGGTCTCGGCCTGATTGGAAACAAACATTGGAATGGTTTACTTGTGGTGAGACAACAAATCAATCTGACCCGAAAGACCAAAAAAGCATAGTTGAAAACCAAAGATCTCTAAATGTTGTGCAACTGCTGCTGCTATGCAATAATATGCTTAAAATCATCCCTATAAGGCAGAAGGAATATAAAAGATAAAACCCCCCAACACAAGCAGATCTATTGCCAAGACATATGTACTGCTGCTGCTCCAGAGAGCCATGAGACTGGGCCGGCTTTGCCGAATGGCTTAACGCTAGTGAACTATTGCTGTGTCTCCCTGATCAGTTGACCAGATAGCTTAAACTAGTGACCTGAGTTAAATGTGTTTCTGGGCTAATGGAGCCCAGATAAGTTAACTAGTGGCTTAACAATGTGAACCAGGGTGCTGTACACTTAGGTTTATTTAACTAATGACCTAAATAACTATGTGTGTCTGAGCCAATAGCTCAAACTTACCTAGATAGAAACGCGCAATATGTGTGCCATTAACAAACAGCAGGCTAATGGAGCCCAGAAAAATTATTTAGTGGCTTAGCAATGTGAACCTGGGAGCTGTACCCTTAGGTTTATTTAACTAATGACCTAAATAACTATGTGTGTCTGAGCCAATAGCTCAAACTTACCTAGGTAGAAACGTGCACTGCGTGTCGTTAACAAACAGGAATCACACTGTAGGCTACTAGATGAAGTAACCCCCAGCAACCACCTGACTCAGGCTCACGCGGCCTGAGCAAATCGTTTTAAATTTGTCATTCAAAAGTTGGAAATTTGTTTTATTTAAAAAAAAAATAATTCCATTAACGTTCATCAATGTTACTGCAATGGAAATACTTACCTGTAACCTATTAAAGGTGCCATAGAATGCATTGATACAATATTTTAAATTGTTCTCTGATATCTACATAGAAGGTATGTGGCTTAGGTAAGGACAAAAAATCTCCAGAAACGGTTTTACATGTCCATTTACAACCCTAGGATTTGTCCCTAGAATGAAATGGTCTGGTTTTACCTTATTTGGAAGGGTCATGAATAATAATGTTGAGCTCTGCTCTGATTGGCTGTTTCACAGTGCGTTTCTGTGCCTTTCTGAATACAGACACCAACCCATCCCTGCACATCACATCCCCTGCACAGCCTGGAACATGACATTTATTTCCATGATCTGCCATTTTCACTATTATCTTCGCTTGTATCTTCACAATACCTGCAGAACTTCTGATGATTCTGCTGTGCAGGTTCGGCTGGCGGCTGGTATAGAACATGGGCGGGTATATGCAAATGTTGGGGGCGTAACTATTAGTGATCCCGACTGTAACGTCACATTCAGTGTTATGTTCTGACTCGCCTATTTTTCAGTGGTCTTTTGCATGCACGAGATTTACATAAGGAGGAAACAATGGTGTTTGAGTCTCACAGTATGTCATTTCCATGTACAGAACAGTTATTATGCAACCATGCCAAGGTAAATACAGTTTTCCATTCTATGGCACCTTTAACAAAATATTTGGCGAAAGAATAAATCACTGTACACCCTTGTAGTTGTGGTGTCATATGCCCAGGACTAATTCTGCCTCAAAAGCAGCTGCTCACTTATTTTGATAATTTAAAATATTTATATTGCATATTAAGAACAATACTGTTTTCATTGTATAAACACATCATTAGCAAAATGCATGTTCAATCCAAGATGGAATATGTAAGCTGCTGCTACTGCACAAAGAGACTGAACTGCTGAGAGCTCCATTAATTAGGCATATAAGTAGCTAGGCGAATGCCTATTTTACTCTAACATGGTGTCTATGTCAGATGCGAGTGGCACAACATGACAAGTCAATAGACACGTTACGATAGGTAAAGCTGTCCGCAATGTATGCAGTGCGACACAGCCGACGCAACAACACTTCTGCTACTGCTGCTATTGATAATATTCACTAACATTTCAATACTGAGTTGAAGTACATGCTGTTGCTGTTAATTATATTCACAATGTTGTAGTAGGAATTTATTGTGCGAGCTGTTGCAGTTGTAATATTTAATCAGAATTTGCAAAGCATAATCTACTGCTGCTGCACGAAACCTGTAAGCCCCGTTGAATAAGCCAAGTAATAAATGCCTATTGCACTTTAAAGAGTTAATTTACCCTCCATGAGTTATCACTAAAATGTCATGCAACTAAAGCGTTTTCTGCTGCCACTGCTATATTAGCAACAATAATAATTTGACTTGCTATGCATGCTGCTGCTAATATTATTTCTAACCTCGCATCTGAATTTACTATGCATGCTATAAAATTTGCTAACATTGCGATCTGAATAGCTATGCATACTGCTGCACAAACGTACTTAGAATTACTGCCCCTTTATTAAATAAAAAAACACAACCAATTAATGCTTATTTTGCTTTGAAGAGTTCTGTAAACCCTGTTGAATCGAATAGCAAAGTAATAAAATGCCTATTTCACCTAAAAAGTTCACTACCATCCAAGCGTTATCTTATCACTGAAATTTCATGCAACTAAATGTACTTTCTGCTGTCGCTGCTATATTAGCAGCAATAATAATAATTGGATTGCCATGCAGACTGCTGCTAATATTTCTAGCATTGCATCTGAATTTGCTACGCGTGCTGCTGCTATTAAAATTCACTAAACTTGCGATCTGAATAGCTATGCATACTGCTGCTACAGCTGCACTATGCAGCTGCTATTAGCCTCTTTACTAAATAAGCAAACTAGGGATGCCAACGATTAATTGACAATTGATTAATTGTCGATAAGAGATGCAATCGATTGTCGATTAAGCAGTTTCATTTTGGGGTGTGTGCGGCTCATGCGCAAAACACATGCAAGCGGCTGTGAGCGATGGTGACGGGGCTGGATCTTTGGTGAAATTAATACACTAACGTACAAATTACGCTTTTAATGTGATCCAAACTTTAAAAGTACATTAAAACAGAAACAATATAAATTTATTTTGTATTGAAATGTAGTAACTAAGTCATGTTTAATTATAATTTCCCCAGATATAATTGTTTCATACCGGGCTCTGCCCGCGTGTTGGGGGGCCCCGCGATAAGACAATGGGGTGCATTGAAAGACGATGATTATGTATCGACGACAGCCAGATATATTGTCAAAAGCATTAAATATTGTCATTATTAAGAGTAGCCTATTTGGTATTTCCAATTAATGTAGGCCTGTTACATTCTGGCTATTATTATTAAGTTACTTTTATTATTAAATTAATAGCCTATTACAACTAATTTGCTCCGCAACTATTTCATAGCGCATCACCGCATAGCTGACGCGCTGTGAGGATAATAAAATATTAGGCTATTAGCTTAGGCTACTCCTCATTGAAAATGTTTTAAAAATGTATTTTAAAACAGGTCTATTATAGGCTGAATTATAGGCTTATAGCCTAAATAAAATTGTTAACACTTCAGTCATCAATAAAACTTAAGAGCAGCTTTATTTTAAGCACCGACTTTCAAAAACAACTTCAACATGATCAACATGAAATACGTTTCTTATAATCGTTTTCACTATGTTCGGGTCACAAGAGAAACATTAAGGAAATAAATTAAAACAGTTCTATACTACATATTTAATAGGAGATTCGTCTCTCATCGTCTCTGAGAGAATTTTATGTGTATGTCGTCAGTTTTTAATTTCACTTTCATGGTGAAAGACGTTCACCGACATAAGTCTTGCACAAAGTTTACACGTTGCTTATATGATATCCACTGGCTCGCCTTCACGGTTTAAAACAGAAATATTCCCAATATTGCGACGCACCTCCGATACTGTGAAATGCCAAACCGCAAACCGACCCCACTAGTGAGGCATGCATCTGAAAGCGATCCGTTCACGGTTAATGTAGAAATGAATGCCCACAGAAGATATTATAAGCATTGGAGATTTCGGGCAAATAAGATAATCCCCAATTCACTTTACTGTTCTAAAATCCGCGACGCTTGACGTTGTATACTCA